TTTATTCCGTTGGAAATTTTACTTAAAGTTAATTTTTCAAAAGTTAAATAATTGTTAACTAACGAAATTTTCTCGAACGACGTCTTAATTGTAAGTGAAAAAAATGTAAAAGGTCGTAAAAATATTTCTTTAGAGCTTTCTTAATACATTAACAAATCGTATAAAAGTAAAAATATTTATATTGTTTTAAAATTTTTTACTTAAACAAAAACTTAAAAATCAGTAATTTGTTAAAAAATTTTTTTCTAAATATCATATTATCGTTTTATATTAATACAAGATATTTATTGATTTGCAAAAAAAAATTTCCCCATTGTTGATAATTTTTTTAAACAAATATTAAATCAATTGTTTTAAAAAAAAATTTTCAAACTTTATTAATTACAAATATTATGATTGTTTAAAAAAAATTTCCAATAACATATTTTAATTTTTATAATCGTTTTTTTATATTTCTATTTATAATTATTAAAAATTTTTTTTCTAAAAATATAATTGACAGTCCTCTATAAAGTAACAAAAAAAATTTTAATCAAAATTCTATTGTTTATTAATTACAATTTTTATAAACAAATGTTCAACTTTTATATTTTTTTCTAAAACTCTAAAATTAACAAAAACAACATATATAACAAAATATAGAAAAACATTTTTTAAATTTTTTGATTATCATGAATATTACTTTTATTAAAAATTTTTTTTTTTTTTTATAGACTTTGTTATATATGTTTGGTTTTGTATAAATTAAAATAATAAGGTTGAACATTTGTTTATAAAAGAAAGTTAATAAACAATAAATTGTTGATTAAAAAAAAAAATTTTTTGTTACTTTATAGAGGACTGTCAATTATGATTTTTGAAAAAAAAATTTCTTAACTAATTATTTAAACAATAAAATATAAAAAATTATACAATTAAAATATGTTATAAGGAAATTTTTTTTATAATATTTGTAATGTAATAGTGAAAATTTTACAAAAAATTGATTTAATCAATTTGTTTAAAAAAATCAACAAATGGCGGAAATTTTTTTTGCAAATCAATAAATATCTTGTATTAATATAAAAACGATAATATGATGATTTAGAAAAAAAAACAACATTTCTTGATTTAAGTTTTTTAATAAATTATTTTTTTTATTTTTTTTATAAACAAAGTATAAATATTTCTTTAACTTTTACGGGTCGATCTTTTAAGAAAGGTTCTACGAAGTGAAAATTTTTACGACCATTATTAAAACATTTTTTTCACTTACAATTAAGACGGTCGTCGAAAATGGTTCAATTTAACTTGTTGAAACTTTATAACTAGTAAAATTTCAAGGGATATAATTATAGTGTTCAGAACACACCATAATTTTTCAAATTTAAAAAAATATACAATACCCTAAGTAAATTAATTAATGTGCCGTAGTCAGCTTTTGACGCCACGCGCGAATCCTAAAAATGTCACGCACAGACCTATCACCCCTTTCAGCGTTAAATTAAAGTTATAAATAATGGAGATAGAGTTCCGGGAGCTGAGAGTTTTTTGATTGAAAATTTCCTCCCTCTTTCAGAATCTTTTTATGATTAAATATTATTTATTTATTAATATTGGAAAAACTTAAATTCCATTTTTTCTTTAAATATATCTAATTACTTTCATGTGCTACACGCTTTTCCATTTTCCTAGGCATTCACGTTCGACTGAGCTATCGCACATAATTTTAAGAGAGTATCTCTATTTTGTTCCATTTTCAACTTGTCGACTAGACTATGTGTTTTTTTAATTTTATTACGGTGTCAAACAACAACTATATTACAAAATAAAATTTAAAAAAATATTTTATCAATTTTGTGTTTTTCATAATTAAATTTATAATTACAAAATAAATCATTTAACGGGTTGGAAACCTAAATAACTTAAGGTCGAGCGTAGCACGAAACTCCCGTCAAAAATGTATTGAATTAGTCGTGTTTCACGTATATTCTCGACTATGAATTTTACGCTAAGACTCGCGCTATAATAGCTAGCTATAACTGGCTCTACAATAGTGTTAATTCTTATTTATGAAATAATAAAAATAAGGAAATTCCGTCAAAGGGAATAAAATCAAACCTAAACAGTTTCCTTATAGTAATTCGTGTCTTACAAAAACGCTGAAGATTCGAGTTTTAACGAAAACATAGGTATATTCAAATAAGTTTGCGTTACATCAAAGCCTTTGATATTGGTTTTTTCTAGCGCTTTGTATTTCGTTACAACTCCAAGCGTAGCTACCTACGCTTTGGTGGAACGAATGGAAATTGCTTTTCAAAATTTCTACCTTGACGTATTAATTTCTTTCAGATCTTTATGATTTGGGGTAGTATAATATTATTAAATAAGTAAAAAAGTTATATACATATGTGCCTTTTATACTTTGTCATACAATTGAAAACAACCAGAAAGTTCCAAAAATGTATGGCATGTCTCAGGCACAGAATGTCAGATCAACTTGCCTATGTAGATTATTTTTTTATAAAAGGGGATACGGGCAACCCGGCTCACCTGATATTAAGTGCTACCATCGCCCGGGGTCACGCTGCCAAAAGGCTCGCATGTACGTTGTTGACCTTTCAACAAATGGTTCGATCTTTTATTGAGAGACCCTAAGTTAATAACAGAACATATACAGAAATCAAGAACAAGCATTACGTCGGCACTTGTCTGTTCTTGTAGTCACTTAATATGCTTTCTTATACATGGTGTTTTTTTTCAACAACAAGAACGTAACCGTCAGCCTGCGAAACTCTACTTGAGGTTGTAATATAATTGATTGATTGGGTATAAATTATTAATCATAAATCACTTCACAATTCACGGGTCACTAGAGTTCTCGGTGGTTAATATGGCTTACGCAACACGAATGGGTCCTTTCCAGACTTTATAACACAAAATCAGTATAATTACGCTATTTTAACTAATGTAGTCATACATCAGCTTCTGTCAAATGTTTACGCTATAGAAACAGAGTGTGTGTTAGTGAAAACAGTGTATATTTTAAAGTTAATACTGCATTTTTTTATTTATTAACACTTTACGTTACCTTAAATATATTAAAAAACCAGGTTATATAAGTTATTAAGCAACAGGACTTATCATTAATAAGCGATTTCTTCCAGGTAGCCCTAGTATGGAAAAAATCCTACTGACAACAACAAGAAGAGCATAAATAATTAACAAAAAAAATATAAAATTACATTTAACACTTGAATTATAGAATAACTAAAATCTAAAACTAAAATAACTAGTCTTTGGGTTAGTTATAATTAATATATACTAGATGACCTCGTGAACTTTATTTCACCAACATATATTTGTGTCAAAACTTTTAAAACACACCAAAGAGATCGGACCTCATACAGGATACTACACTAATAATATGAAACAGATATTTCTTAGAGCATCTACAAAAAAATGAAAACCAAGTGACAATTCTTTATTTCTAAATACGTCAAATTTCCCAACTAAGAAAAGTTTTTATAGGAAAATTCAATTGTCGTTTTTAGTATTTTTCTTTAATTTTTATTTACGTGTCCGTTTAAACCTTCCCTGATTTCCGCAAATATTTCAAGATCATAATTAGCCATATCGATCCAGTCGTTCTCAAGTTTTAGCGAGACTAACGAACAGCAGCAGCATTTTTATATATATAGATAGATAAGTAGCTAATTACGAGGTAAATGAGAAATGCTCAAAAAGATTGTTACACGTCTTTAAAGACTGAGCTAAAAAAATCTTTTTAAAAGAGAAAATGCCATAGGGCAAGGGGTGGTTACAAATGCAACCTAAATAAAAGAAAACAATGTTTATTTATCTTTACAGTTATTACTAATACAATTATACCTACACCGAAAATATTATAACTAAAAAAATTATATACCTAGATATATTTATAAGATAACTGGTGAACTCAGCCAGTGTACAAATAAATAGGTCTGCCTCGACTGGAATCCTCCTCTATATACCTCGAAAGGATGTTACAGCAATAATGCCAAGGAATGTTTTAGTAACCAATGAATTGGTTAATGTGTAGTTAATCACCAGCCTTATGACTGCATTTTCGCAAACGGGCTGGAGTACCTGATATTAAGTAAACTGCCTGGCGCACACAGGGAACTGAGACAATCTTTACATCATGCGTGTAATATTATCAGTTTTTTAAATGTTTTTAAGGGGTACAAAGCCATGTGCCTCCATAATATTACATACAAGTTGTAAAGAATGATAGAAAAAGGTAAGGTAAGGTTAATTTTGGTAAAGGCTAAAAATTTGTACCTTTCCTGTTTCTTTAATTTCACAAATCATGATGTTTTAATTATTGACATAGACATAGACATAACATTTATTACATACGAAAACACACACACATAAACACACAAAAATTGCATGATATTATTATATTTATTATATTATATTTACATATACAGGGTGGCCAAAAAGTCGTGGATCAAACGCAAATAGGGGATAGATGAGGTCATCAGCGGCAAAAAATTGTTCTACGGGAGGTCTCTAACGTCAACCCCTGCAGAGTTATGATTTATTTTGGTTTTATATGAAAATTGACTTTTTTTTACTAATTCTTCTTAAAATTCGAAAATATCTACATCCTGTATCTTTCTCATAATATCCACTAGATTGGTACTGATGAGTTCTTGAGTTCGACATACTATTTATAGTTGTTTATTGAGTGTATTCAAGATAATATTAAGTGATACGATATAACATTTTTTCAAATCATAAATTTTTCTTTACTTTGGACCCCACTGTAAAAAAAAATTACTCCACCGAAAAGTGTCCCTGTACTACAAGTTTTGGCGCATTTAATAGGGATTCTGAAAAGGTATTACACGTGGCCATGAGTCGCTCTAATATCTATCTATTGTATAAATATTGCATGATACACCATTGACAAATTTACCAAAGTTATATAGGCAAGGCAGTCTGTAATATATGTGAATTCTATTTGTCCACAGGATCTCAGTAATCTTTCAAGTTCGATCAGCGAAAGCCGTGAAGATATCCGATATGTATCTATTACGTCGAATTGGTGTGATTGTGGGTGTGGCCTGCGTGTTACTCTCTATACGTACACTCGTAGCGCCACCTGCGGTCATCGTGGGAAGGACGAAAGACGACCTAAAAGCGTATTTATGCAATACAGACTGGTGGGACCACTCATTTACAACATGTAAGATTTATTTATCATTATAATTACCTATGAGTTAGAATTTCATTTAATTATAATGGCGCTACAACCTTTTTAGTTCTGAGCCTCAGCCTTTCTGTTTCTTGGTCATTTGTAAGTCTAATAGTGAGCAGCCTCTTGTGCTTGACACACGCCGTAGAGTTTTTGGGTCTAAGGCAAGCCGGTTTCCTCACGAATGTTTTCCTTCACCTTCTGCACACATAGAAAGAAAGTCTATTGGTGAACAGCCGGGGATCGAACCTTCGACCTCATGGACGAGAGTGGCACGCTGATGTCACTACGCCAACACGGCGCTTTAATTTAATTTATTTATATAAAAGATACACAATTATATGGTAGGTATACAGACACTAGTTCCCTCACTAGGGATATCCATAAGTTGTGGATGACCAGATACTTTTCCGTGGTTTATATATACGTGGAACAATACAATAGAATTATTTCGTCCAATTTTGTTTTTAGTCTGTTGTAACGTCAACGCCAAACTTTAATTTATTTACTTTAGAAAAATTGCGCTGAAAGAAAGAAATCTCTCGCTAGGAGGATCTGCAATTATAAAATTTTATACCTTAAACCCTTAAATATATTAGGTCCTTACATATGAATTTGGCGTTTTTCGTACTGACCACTTTGACGTCAAATATCTCCTCTTTGGTTAGGAATTACAAAACAGATTACCATATTTTTCGAAATTTGGATAACTTCTTGCAATGTAAAAAATTCAACTCTGATGGGGCAGTCGAAACCGCTTTCATAGATTTTATTGATTCCCGTCCGAATGTTTTTTTTTAATGAACTACCTTTAAAATGGCAAAAGTGCAAACATAGCAATGGTACGTACATACTTTAATTAATTAAATATAGTTTATTTAAAAAACTACTTTTTTTTCCTCTCATCTAAAACGCCAATTTCATATATTAAGGACCTAATATTAACGTATTCCTGAAATTCACAAACATTATTCACTCAACGCGGTTCATATAGAGCAATCGCGGTCAGCGAAAACTAAGTTAAGTAAATAATGTAATATATTCCCATTTAAATTCATTATTTGTAGAATGTTTAACCATTAAGTTAACTGCTATCTCCCTCTTCTGGTTTCTTCTATCTATGTTTGCCATAGTCATTTTGCATGATTTGATATTTTAAAAGAGTAACGAGAGTTTTTTACGCCGGCTTTTTCTCTCAGCCTACACCCTCTGTCTTCTTTGCCGATGAGTAGGGATGTCTACTTACAGAAATTTAAACATATTTAATTTTTATTTTATTTTGCTGAATACAGTTTAGAATTATTTATTGGTCAGCTATTAAGAGCGCTTACAAAAACGTTATAGCAAGTAACATATAGCATTCTTTATACAGATTAAGTAGACTTGAATATAAAATAGGAAAAAGGAATCAAGCTTTGTTACCATAAAAAATATATAAAAAGATTTAGAAGTTAAACGTGCTATTTTAATTTTGTAAGTAAAATTTTGTAATAAATACCACAAATGTCGCCGTTGCGTAAATTCTCTCTATCTATACAATATAAACCCAAAACTTTCCTATCCAAGCATACTTGATAAGAAATAGTTTCTTTCATGAATAAAATATTAAAAATGTATCGTGACAGGCAGATATGTATGTTTACGACATTGAGATAAGAACGTGGCATTGCCGCTTGCCAAGTGCGGGTGTATTTTATGAAAATTTCAACGTTGAATCAATGTTATAAAGTTGTAACTGATATTTATTTTTGACTAGCGTTGCGCTTTAATACGATTTTTTTACTTAGCCAACATTTGGAACATTTTGCTAAAGCAAATCTCCGATTTTCAAGAATAAAAACCTAAAACTGCTAAATAAAACAAAACTTTTAAATTTTTATCTCAAAGTTCAAAGAATAAATTTAAAAAAATACTCAATTTGGTCAAGCCATCTTCGAGTTTTGAGTTTAGCAACATATTTTGCGATTTAATTTTTATTTTTATAGAAAATAAATCAGATAACACTTTAAACGTATTAAAACACTTTAAAAACGTAATTGACTCACTTGTTAATATAACATTTATAAGTATATATCGGTAAACCAGTAAACAGTATGTATGTAGGGCAAATATTACATTTACTAACTTACTTTAATAAATTATGTTTCTATGGGGATAACGAACAGACGATTTAAATTACGTGCGGTTAGGTTAGGACACGCCAGGGAGCTTGCAAGTGCGTTGCTGACCTTTAAAAACTACTCGTCTTTCAAATTGTACATACATACTCTTTTATTATGATGAAAGTTATGTTGACTGTTATACATTCAAACATGCGACCTTATGAAATATACAACATTATGAACAAAACCAACGCGATTTTCCAAATGGAAAATTCACCTCACAAAATTGCAATACTGTTTTTACTACCTCATATCATGCATTTCAAGAGACGAATAAATGGTATACGCATAGAGGGAAATAAAAAGTATTGTGTTGTTATTTGGTCCTGAGTCCTTGTGTTCTCAAACATTGTTCCACATTTCCCACATGTCTCATTAAAATCTCTAGGCGTTCTATAGGGTCAAATTATACCGACATACGTCCTTACCTAACACTGCAATTTTATATCACACTAGCTGACCCGGCAAACGTCGTTTTGCCATGTATATTATTTCTAGGAAACATTTTTTTAGTTCATTAAAAATAACTATCTACTATAATACAAAATAGGGGTTGATCGTAGGGGTTGTATGTATTTTTGTATGCTGTATCATAAAAAAATAAAAACAAAAAAAATTGTCAAAAAAATATATATTTTGGGGTTGAAAACCCCTTATCACTTAGGGGTATGAAAAATAGCCGATTCTCAGACCTACTGAATATGAATATAAAATTTGATAAAAATCGGTCAAGCCTTTTCGGAGGAGTATGGTAACTAACATTGTGACACGAGAATTTTATATATAAGATGTAAAAGAATTAAGCAGTTTTTTTTCGTTTTAAAGAGCCCAGTTACACTGACTATGGAAAACAAGGGCAAGGAGGTTTCTTTAGCTATTTGACTCTAGACATCGTAGATGAAGCTGAAACATAAATATTGCGAAACTTATATAAAAAATATGATATATAGAACCTTTTTGTTCTTTATTGTTTCAGTGGAAGTGATTTTCCTGGTATGGGGTATCCGTTTGTGTATAATGGTCCGGAAAGCGCCTTCCGAGTTCAACGAAAGCCGGTTCATCTCTATGGCGATATACAACGAGTTCCTGCTCTCTGTCTTCCTCAATATATCAATGTAAGTAACACGTTGTTAAAAATGTTTCTAGTATAACGATTTATATATCATTTTTTTAGATTTTACGAAAGTCTGGTGTGAAATTGGTGTCACCAATTGTTTATAGTTCAAAAATAATTCATTAGTCTATATTATATGTATAATGTTACATTGTATACATTATATACTACAAGCCACAGTGGTCTTCAAATATAACCTGTAAAATAAATACATGAAAAAGAAAATATGAAACTTGATATAAATGCGAATTAATTTGATTATTTGGAGTACTTTTCAGTATATTGGCAATAAAATTATAATTAAATTACCGTTATGATTGCTATATATCTCTTAATATGATCTGTTCAAGCACCTTAAAGTATTTCTTAATCCATTTAGTACGTTTAATACTGTGTAAAAAATATACATAAATATTTATTATCTATTTTCACTTCCTGTTACAAGCACACGCACACAAGTTAACAATAAACATGTACATGGCATTCTAGGCTTAGTGAAATGGGCGGCCCTGTCGCTTTTACATGCTGGTTGCATTTCTTTTTACCTAAAAATTTTACAGAGAATTGCAAAATAATAAAAAATGTCCATGTCTTATGCATTAGGGCCTTTTTAATGTATTTTTATAAAATTAATTTGAAATTTGTGACCGGTATTGAAATAAATTATCCGGGTAAAGATTCAATTTGCTTCAAGAGAAAATCGAAGTTAATTGCTTTCATATTGGGAGTTCATAATCTATAAAATGATGATTGAAAATTATGAAACTGCTTACTCGAAATTAATAATTACGAAAAACATGAATAGAGATTTACGTGAAATTTTCAATTAATACTTGGTAAATCGCTTTTAAATGGAGTCCCAACAGTTTTTATAGTGATTCAAAAACCGAATGTTAATTAGTCTTAATAGAACGATTGGTCGCTAAACTAAACAGCTTAAGGTTTCATAGTATGTTAAAAATCTGTCTAATTTGATGTCATAATTCGCGCATAGTTGCCGTATAATGGCTATCCGAATATAGGTAATACTTTAAAACTAAATTTTTACTATAAAAACATGTGTGTGTACTTATGTACACGCGTTAGAAGTTATACTTCTTTGGCGTAACAAGATAAAAGTGTTTTTAAATTTTTTATCTTTGGCCTTATTCTACGTTTGTAGAAAAAACGACACTAACAATAGAAAAAAGGTATTTAATACATTAAAAGTTTTATTATAACGCATTATCTAGTTAAATACAGTTATTTAAATATAACAAAAATATATCTACATAATTAAAGAAATGGACAAATTATTTTAAAATTTTGACTATGCTAACTTTAGGGTGTCGGTTTTTTGTGACGGTGTGCGCGCGCATCGTAAAAAATTACTCTCATAATTTTTCCCTAATGCGCCATAAGAAGTATAACTTCAAAAAAATTTAATATTCAATTGACATATAATCCCGATGATTTGTTACTGTTTACATACTGATAATTACTACTGTTATGTTAACATTAATTAAATATTATATTTAACTCACGATAACAAGACCACTGTTTTCGGACTAATTAATATCTTATATTCGCAGTTGAATTATTATATTCGATTGTAGGGTAGTGAGATTTTTTAAAATAATATAACAGGCTGTAACATCAGCAAGACTTATATATTTTAGTACTTTAAAATCACTTTAGGCTTTTTTGATATATGTAAAAAACAGTTATTACTTTCGTATCCGTAATAACTAGGAAGCTGTCGAGCACTTAAGTATAAGTTTTGCTTGTATTTCGTATTGATATGAATTAAAGGTCGGACCAATACGACAAAATTTTCCTAATGAAAGGTCGTTACATTGCTGCGATTTTAAGCTACAGGGGTTTAAATCTATAAAAGTCTGAAATCGATACTCAATCATTTGCTCGTGTCTGCCTCTGGGGTTAATGGTCATTTAGATAACGAAGAAAATCTATAAGCAGACATCCAGATCTCTGCATTATCACAGGAGGTTGGAGTCCGCAAATGGGTAAATAATGCGATTTATTCGTAGTAAGACTATTTTTTTGTTGTTTGAATATTTTATTGACCGGCGAACATAATATGAATTCCGAGCCGAAAAAAATAAATACAAACAAATTTCAAAAGGCCTGCTTTCGGTATATCAGTGGCCTGGGTGACTGCCTCATTTATGTTTTTTTAAGCAATATAGACAACAGTCAAAAAGGCAGACACGAGCAAATGATAGAGCACACTTTTTTTGTAGACACTTATAAGGCGCTCTTAATAGAAAACGCAGCGCTGCGATGGGGGCAGACTATTTTGCTACGGTCGTTCGCAAGGGTTTTAAACGAACAGTTCAGGTCTGCATTTCAAATATAACATTTTGTAATTATAAAAATCTTTAAAAATTCATAACTTGCAAAGTCAGAGTAGCATATGTCTGCCTTTTGTTTTTCTATCATTTTAGCCTTAAAGGCAGACACGACCAAATTATATAGTATACCTGCTTTTTACATTTCAAGGGGGTGTCAATTGACACCGCAGTGCTACCATGGTGGCAGACGTGGTCCTTAATATTCCTTATCGTATAATTATCGCTATTAAAAACGTCTGCCACTTGAGCAAATCATATAGATATTTTACTCGCTAGCTACCTAGCTACGAGTATAATGTTCTATCGTTTCTATCACTTTATTCCTTGTCATTGTAATTTAAATATTATGGTGGCGGGAATATAGTAGTTAATATTAACATTGTTTGAAGGTCATACTTTGTATCAAGTTTTAAAATAGTACGACCCTTTTCAGCCTGTTTTTGTGTCTATCGCGTTGTCACTTGTATACATTAAACCAGCAATTATTTATTCTATTACATTAAAACAAATCAAATTCAATCATCAGATGTTGGCCTGTACACACATCTTAAACACAAAATTACAAACAAAAAAAAAAACAATCGAATAACATATTTTTTTAAATAATCCGAACTATTCTCCAATCCGCTAATAGAAACTCGAAATGAACACATCACCAATCAACTTCAAAACTTGTAATAGTCTAATTTTCAATCATACTTAAACATAGATGACACTACGTTTGTGTCAGTTGCGTTTTGTTATACCATTTTTTAACAAATGAACCGCTAGACTGATGTTTTGACTGATAAATTTTTCGGTTTTATGTTTGTTGGGTTTTGTTATACCACGTTTTATGTCTCGTCTCACGGAAACAGGATAAAAAGTATCTTATTTCCGTCTCCTGGTTCTAAGCTACCTCCCCACCAATTTTTAGCCAAATCGGTTCAGCGTTCTAGAGTTAGAAATAGTGTCACTAACATTATATAAATTTATTATTTCACGAGCTACCCACGCGAACTTCGTTTCGCCCTAACATGATTTTTTCTACTTAGCCTTCTATTTAAGTAGCTCATACCAACATATGGAACTTTTTGCAATACTACTCCATAGAGACTGTTCACTTTTTCGGAATAAAAACCTAAGTACAGTAAGTTTCACACTGTTTAAATATCTGAAAATTATAATTAAAATCAGCCAAATCGGTCGGTCGGAAAAATTCATGTTTCTATATTACTTATTTACCAATAAGGGTAAGATTTAGAAACAGCACTGACCGATTTCAAAAATTTCTCGACTCTCAATGTTAGCCTAAGATCACGAGTGTTGAATGACTTTCTCGCATTTCGCATCTCTCACAAACTCATATAAAGTCGCGTATAAAACGTTAGTTCTAGGGTTGTTTTCTTTTTTATAATAAACCCGTTTGCACTGTAAAGTTTTTTAATATTCTTTTATCTTGTGAACAGAGTCTATACAATTGCATATAAGACAACACGGATTCAGGCTTAATTTGATATAATTATTTATTTGTTTAGTAAAATTCATACTGACAAATTTTACTTAATATGAATATAAGGTGTGATTACTTAAGGTAATAATGTCGAAATACAAATATAATATTTAATATTATATATTTTATATATACATTGTTCATTTATTAATTATAACAATCAAATATACAGAATTCACAATTTTCTTAACCTACATAGCAATAATTTAAATAATTATAAATTAATTAAAAGTAAACTAAAACAAATTTAAAAAGTTTGGTCCCTGTGGCACCTTTAACGCTGGCAGCATTTACTCGCTGTATTGCGATACTTATTCGTTGAGCAAGGAAAGCACCAGCTCCGGGGTTACTTCCGTAATTTTGTAAAATGGTAACAAATATACGGAATTTGTAAAATGTACCACGTACCATACGTAGTGACTGAACCTATAGAAACTTTTATTCTTAGTAATTCGTTTTATTATTTTTAGTTATTACTTTTTTTGTTCGTTTTCCATCACCGCACCTATTATGATTAATGCAGCATGGATATTACAATGTAACTAAAAAGTTTTATAGTTATCTGTGATTAGTCATACCAGAATGTCCTTTTATTTTCATAAATTATTATATTTTGTTTGGGGAACATAGACTAGTAATTAAATATGAATATGTTTTGTATAGCGAAGACATATATAACAAAGGTGCTTTCAATTTTCTAAATGTGTTTTATTATTCGTTGTATCTTGACGCGCAGAACATCAAAGTTCTTATGATGGATAAAACTAATATTAAACAATAATATATCAAGTGATATGAAAAAACTTCGAAGCCTAAGAAAAGACGGGTGCAGACTGAAAGCCAGCTGTTAAAAATCAATAAGTTTGACGACTCATTGGTCTAGTGGTTAGTACCCCTGACTGCGAATCCATGGGTCCCGGGTTCGATCCCCGGCTGAGATATACATCGATGCGATGAGCATTTGGTGTTGTGCTTAGGTCTTGGGTGTTTAAATAAGTATTTATATGTCTATCTATCTATAATATGTATGTATATCCGTTGCCTAGTACCCATAACACAAGCTTCACCAGCTTAGCATGGGACTAGGTCAATTGGTGTGAATTGTCTTTAAAAAAATAAAAAAAAAATAAGTTTAACAAGTCGTGATAAAAGCCT